AAACCTAGTTGATCAGTTGTCGGCTAACGTATAGAAAGTGATTATGCATATATCATCAGTTATATAGTTTCATCAATTGTTGTTGATATGTCTGATGTAAAATATGTAATTGGACGATACATATGGAGAATGCCGGTATCACGAAACTAAGTATTTAATATTCTGTGCTGCACGCCTCCCCCTGTAAAATCGGGTAGATACTACTCAGTTAAAAATCGGGCAATTCTGCTTAAATGGTAGATTCTACTTAAAATCTGGCAATTCTACTAAAAAATGTGCAAAAATCGGGCAAAATGATGAAAAGGAAGCGCAACGGGTCTTAATTAAAATCGTCGAAAAAGGAAGAAATTTGTAACATTGGGAAAATGTATTTGTCCCACCGAGCTCCCCCCCCCCCACCCTCGCCCCCTCCCATTCGACAGGAATTATATGGGGGGGGGGGGATATTATATGACGGAACATTTTGTAGTTTTCGGGCAATTTGATTTTGTGTTTATAAAAATCTTTATTAGTCAGGAAAATAAACTCACAATAAGTGATTTGTAGTGAATAACTTAATTTGGTTGAGTTATACTGAGAAGCTTGATTTCTAAAGGTCTATATGACACCCTGTATAGGGTGTATCAATTATCAAGAAATGTAATCCAACTTTAGAGTGATCTTGTGCGGTCAGTGCAGAATGTATTCAGATTTTATTGTTTTATCCACGAAGTTAGCATGTTAAGCTTATATATTATTTGGCAGGACACATCAGTGATTAATTGGAAAATGTGATTTCGACTGGCAATTTTTAATCGGCTCGTTTGTACTTGGAATGATCGATACAAAAACTCTAATCTATATATCAAGGATTTCTAGAACAGTTCAAATTAGTTTTCATCCCTACCCTAACGCTGTTTTAATGCATGCAGAAAGGCGACTGTGGTCAATATATTGTTTTTCTAAAGATTATATATATTTTAATGATAATACTTATTGGTTTACTTATTGGTTTAAAACTTAATTAAATAATGATTATAATTTCGTAAATGAATGTTCATAATTAAATTCATTGCAATTACTGAAATAATGGTGTATATAAAAGAAGCTTGTTTTATTCGACAAGATTCAGATATCCAGAAGTTGTTGAAGACTAAAGCTCCTGGAAGTAAAGTGAGAAAATTCAGTCAAAGATGAAATTTTGCATGATTTATCTTTTCTTCATTGTTGCTGTGATGGTGATGCCATTGGTTACATTTGCCGGCATTAATCCATGGCTAGTAAGTGACCTACAGTTGAAAATTACAGAGTACAGAGGAGGTTATAAGATATCTCTAAATATATAACCTTAACCTCCAAGTCGTCAAGAGGTTGTGTAAATCGTAGTCCATCTTAATATGCATCCTGAGAATATGCTGATGTTATCATAGGTTTATTATACTGAATTTCATTTGTAGGATAACTTATCATAATTTTGTTATTCTCATGACTCTATCCTCTAGTACAAACTCCAAAACTCTCCTTCTCTAACCACTACCTGTACCTGCACCCGCACCCCTATGTTGTTGGCGTTCACATCGATCACCATGTCATGTGCGGGCGTCGGATGAAAATTGAAAATAGCGAACTAACGAAATGAAGGATTTGTGAGAAATATTTATAAACATGCAGTTAGTAGAAACTTCCATGACTATATAAAGAACATCAGTATTATTTTAATATTTCTTTATTTTGCTTTATTAAGGGTAACACTGGGTGCAGGTTCCATCAGCGATGCGGCAGGGCAGAAGATCCGCCGTGTGGTTCCTGTCCTAGACAGGGTCGGTTGAAATGTGCACGAATAGGTTGCTCAACACCGAATATGTGGTGTGTTAAAATCAACCAGGGACCACCAGGATGTGCAGCACCAATGGGTGATCCACCATTCGATGCATCACAAATGCGACTCAGATCTAGAAATTAGCATAACTTGGCAAAAAAGTGTTATATATAAGACATAACTTATAACATGAACTCCATAGACATAGTATAGAAAACTGAAGGTATGCAGTAAAAATGTGCAAAATGTTTAAAATAGTAACTTAAAGTTTCATTAATAATAAAACATTCAAATAAAAAAGTCGCTGTTTGCTTGCGCCAATTTTTTCTCTTCTGAATTATTGGCTACAGCAATTTTTTCCAATCCTTTTTCTTTGTACGATTTTTTTGGGTAATTATCACCCCCCCCCCCCCCCCCACCAGTCATTTTTGGGGAATTATTAGAATTTTGTAACAGATGCCCCTCCCGAAGCCATCATCACAGAATACCAGAAGGTCCACTTAGCCAAAATTATGTCCGAGATTTTTTATGCGCAGCAGTGGCGTGCTGGCAGGGGGGCGTGAAAATGAAAAGGGGGCGCCGTCCCGCGCCGAATTTTGAAAGTGGGTGGGAAAAAACGCATTTGAAAAAATATAGCTACTTCCGCCAAGAAAAGATGTGTTTATAGGCTTATAAACAGACTAAGCGCATTGGCGACAAAGTTATATATTAATAAATTACAGACTATTTTGTCTAACCGTATTTGCTAAAGTTATATTATGCCCTTTATTATGCCTCACGAATCACGAGAGCGGCGCAAATGAGATAGTCATGATAATGTAAAGTTGTGTGCGCAATTTAGCTGTTTAATTGTGCAAGAAACAACATGACTCAAGAGTAATGTAAGTAATAAGATAATGCTGAAACGCGCCCTTTTGGCAGCAAAGCAAGGAAACCTTGAAATGCATATCCGCTTGTTATGTATAAAAGAGCTGTAAGATCAGATCACTAGATCACTAGAGAATAGAATTGGGATTACATTAATCGCAGGATTGCGTGATCCATGCACGAGGGATGTCGCGAGACTTTCGGAAAGCGTAAAAATACTCGAGCCGCAGGCGAGTGTATTTTTACGCTTTCCGAAAGTCGAGCAACATCCCAAGTGCATGGATCACGCTATCCTGCTTGGAAAACCATTTGGTAATTGTATTATAAAATAACTACAGTGAAACAATCACATTTAAAGAATCTCGCGAAAATCCCGCGAAGGCATTTTGATTCCTCGTGCAGGTTAGCCTGATCCTGCACGGGCAGCACGGCTATTGACCAATCGAATTGCGTGTTTCACTGTAGTTATTATATAATGCCGTTTCCTGACCAGCAGATTTCTGTCAAACCTTCCCCCCAAAGTCCAGGAAATGGCATTTCAGAGACCCTAAATTCAAACATTTTCCGACGGGGCATGCCCCCGGACCCCCTAAACAAACCTCGCACCTGCGGTGCTCGGCTAGTGCCTCCGAAAACCTATTCACCCCCCCCCCTGTTTCACAGGGTCTCACCTCCGCCACGCCCCCCAAACTGAGCGGAGGTGAGAATCTGTACTAAAACCACTAATTCTGTTTTGTGATTGGCGCGGCTTAATCAAAGAATCGCCCCGTTGAACCAGAGCCTTCGCGACGTTTCAATTTATTATTTACTGTCGAAGGCTCTGGAATCCAGGGTAGAAAAACCGTTGATTTGAGGAGAAAATATCAGGGAAAGGTGTATTTAGACCCTCTGGTATATTTTCTATTCTGTGCCATCTTTATGAATAAACCAATAAAACCAAACTTTTTTAAAAAATTCTGTCATTTTCTGAAAATTGGAAGATAAAGAACTGAGGTTAGGCTTTAGAAAACCTATAAAACTTAGAAAACCTATAATCTAGATCTTCAAGAAATTGTTGATAGCCATAGTTATGTATAAAGTGAACAATAATCTAGCACCCTCTGATGTATGTAATCTTTTCAAACACAACACCAGCAATTACAATCTTAGGAATGTAAGTGATTTCTCCATACCTAGATTTAACACGGTCACGTATGGGAAACACAGCTTGAGGTATATGGGCCCGTTCATTTGGTCAAAGATCCATAAGTCCATAAAAACGGTCTTGTCTAAAAGTACACACGAGTGACCACGAATGACCACGAGTGACCACGAATGACCACGAGTGACCACGAGTGACCACGAATGACCACGAGTGACCACGAATGACCACGAGTGATTTCTGTGTTTAAAAGTCATAAAATAATAGTAAAAAACTATTTTAAGGTGGCTCCATAGGGTTTTTGCATTATACTACACTTTTGTATCCAGAAAACTCCCGTTTCTTCACTTTATATAACATGAAGACGAAATTTATTGGACACATTGACAATGCTCTCCTGAACATTGCAATTTACTACTTTTGCGCTTAAAGTCCGTTACCATGGTAACAGCGTGCTTAGAATAATTAGCTCCGAAAATTTGTCTTTTTCCAGCCGTTTTAAAAATTTAAAAATATGCATAAAAGATCTTTCTCGTATAATGATTTTTTTCTTCAATTTTTAAAAATTCTATGGAACGTTACTTACATTATTCCCTTCAATAAAATTTTAAGAAAAAAGGATATTGAGCTTGTTTAGCCGATGCCGTAAACCTCCGACTATAAGCCCCCCCCAAATATAAGCCCCCCCGTGTATAAGCCCACCACATGTACTAACGCTCAAATCATTCCAAATATAAGCCCCCCCCCCCGAATATAAGCCCCCCGAATATAAGTCCCCCAATTAAAATAAGCCCAGTAATCGATGCTTAATTAATACACGTTTTTTCCCTGTATGACTGACTTAGTGACTTGTTTATGTCTGACTTGTTTATTACTAACACAAAAGATCGTCCATGTATAAGCCCACCCTTATATAAGCTCCCCCTTGTATAGGCCCATCAAAAATCGCTTACGAAAGTATATAAGCCCAGGGCTTATAGTCGGAGGTTTACGGTATTAAGAAATGTGGAAAGTTTGTGACCAGGGGCGTAGGAAGCATCGAAAAGTTGGGGGGGGCCTCGGTTTCGAGGGGCACTTTTAGAATGAAAAGGGCACCTAAAAATTTTTCCCGGAAATGTTGGCGACGGGGGAGGGGAGGGCAGGACCGTAGCTAGCATGTATAATTGGGGGGGGGGTGTAGGCCGAATGACGAAAAAAATTTCCGAATATTTCATGGCCTACGAAACCACGAAGGTGTTTGCTATTCGGAAAAAAAGACGCAATTTAAAAACAAAAATACGCATATTTTACGCACAGACGTATTACAGAAGCATGCAGTGCCGTAGGAATCTCTTTTTAATTGGGGGTAATTGAGAACGAGGGCCAAAGGCCCGAGGAAATTTTTAAATTTAGAGTCTCTGAAATGCCATTTCCTGGACTTTGGGAAAGTTTTGACAGAATTCTGATGGTCAGAAAACAGCGTTTTAGTATGTCGAAATTTACAATTTGCTTGCAATTTAGTTGTACTAAATGGGGGAAAATTAAGGCGTATTTAATTAACTATATATTGGGGAAGTTGCAGGAAAGTATATATATAATATGATCTTTGCAGTTTGTCATGGATAATGTAACCGCTTAAAATTAATCAATTGTCATTATTTCAAAGGTATACTATTTAAATGATAAAGGTCTGCATGATCTTGACAAAAGAATGGTTATTAGCAAATTATTGGGAGGGCTGCCCCCCCCCCCCCTCGCGGTTGCTTCGACCCTGAGAAGTAATAAACCGAAAAATATTTACCGAGTTACGATTTCAGTTAAATGGAATGCACGTAAATGCCATGATTTCGTAAATCAGTTTATACTGACAATACAATTATATTATATTTTCTCTGTTTACAACCAAAATTTTGTTATATATTATTGCCGTAATTTTCCTAATGACCAACCCGATTCTC